TCTTGACCGGAGCTCTGCCACACACTCTTCCAGCATGGGGGCTCAGGACTGTACAAGACAGGTGTACTCATTGTTCAGCTGCTGTCTCCCAGCTCCAAATCCATCTTTTTATTTCTATGCTTTGTGACACTGGGGCGGGGATGCTCTAAACTATGGGGATCCTGCAAACCACGATTCTCCTTTGTTCTGAGACTTCCTGTTTCTACCAGCAGAGGCACTAGAGTGAGACTGGAAGGCAGGAGGAGGAAGTAGGGACTGGCTCCTTTTTTTGCTTGCTGGATCCTGTCCAGATTGCCCCAGTAATGGCCCTTCTTTCTAGTAGTTGCAGCTAGTTCTGACCTCCAGCTCCTGACATTCCCAGAACAGCCTCCTGTGCCTCCCTAGAGATGAGTAATAGCTAGATGGTGATCCCTTGGAGAGCTGGGTCCCAGTGCTGTGGTCTCCTCCTCCAAATTCATAGATTCTCACAATCCCATTTCTTCCTGTGGTTATCACCTCTGTCTTTTTTCAGTGCTCCCTTTAAAGTTTTTCTCTCCTTCTAATAATATATTTTCAACTAACTACTTTTATTAAAGTATCACTGTTGAAATTATCTAGTGCAGTTTCTGTGTTCCTAACTGGACTGGATGCAAAAGGGAAGATTCCTGGTCTTGTGGACCTTAAATTCAATTCGGGGAAGATAGAAAACAAACCAATAAAAAGGCCAGAAGTAAAAAGTGTTCTGATGAAAAATAAGACAGGGTAATAGAGAAAGCCTAGGCTGCTTTTGATTGGGTAGTCAGGGAAGTTCTCTCCAAGAGGTGACATTTAAGCAGGGAAAGAAATGCTAAGTTTCTGCCCATTCAAAGAGCTAGGGAAGAATGTTCCAAGGGAAAGGACCAGCCAGTGCAAAGGCCTTACAGAGAGAGTGGGCTTTTTGTATTCAAGAAGAAATGGCTTGAAGTGGAGTTGGGGAGGGGTATTGCAGAGGTTAGGGTCAGAGAAGCAGGCAGGGGTAGACCATGTGGACCTTCTTAGCCACGGGTTAAGTGTTAGTTCAAGCTTTTACTATTAAAAAAAGTTCAGAATGTGTTGGAAAGCCTTTGGAGGGTTTTAAAACATGGAAAGTACCAACACCTGACTTAGATTTCAAGAAGATCTCTTTAATAGCTGGACGGCGGGGGGCAGTCTGTAGGGTGCCAGAGCAGAAAGTTTGTTCTCCCCAGAGCAGAAGGTGGTCAAGGAGGAGGAAGCCAGAGACTCAGACTTGTCCTAGGTCACCTGGATTTGGAATTCAGGTTCCCAGATCGGTGCTCCTTTGGGGCTACCCTTTCTCAAAGTAAGGCCTAATCGACCCAACATCCTGGGAAGAGGATGACACCCCTTGGTCAGCCAAACACATACTTTTGACAATGCTCCTGCTTCATGAAAAGTCTAGTGGTGCTCGACTCATGGTTTATCCAGGTTGCACCTGGTTGGTCACAATAAGCAGAGATACCTCACAAACAGAGTGAAGGACACTGATGGGGTTTGGGGTTTACCTTAAACAGGCAGTCGGGGCATTCTGAGTAAAAAAGAGGGATGCCTTTATAAGCAGAGGTGGGAGTAAGAGACAAAAATGTCTATATGCTTCAAGCAATAGAGCTTTACTGAAAGAATCCTTCCTCCGGTGAGTAATATAATCTAGCATTTTGGGGGGTGGGAGGAAATGGCTGGATGGGTCCCGGGAGTACTACTGAGGTGACTTCAGCGTTAGCATTTTTCTCCACAGCTTGAAATATGAGGAGGATGGAAGACGGGAAGAAGCTGGGACGTCCTCTCACACTAAGGACCCTGAGAGGCAAGCGCTTCGGAAGGCCTGAGAGCCTCAGATCCGCTTCTAAACTGGCACTGCATTCTGATTGGCTGTCTCTGCCTGCCTCAGTTTATTGCTCTTCCTGATTGGCTGGGTTCTTCCACCCTCGTCAGATCCCTGTTCCGAGCAGGCTAGTCCTCCCACCCGCCGCAGTGTCACCTGGGATTGGCTGGGTTCTGAAAGACCCGCCGGCATGCGTTTTGCCACCATCAGATTCTTCCTCATTAAACAAATGAATCACAATCCTAATTAATTTGAGCAACAGAATTTATGTAACTACTCCCAGCAGGATGTCTGCTCTCAGTTGGTAGCGAGATTAATTCCTCTCTCTGGGAAATTCCAGGCGCGCTGGTCAATAAACCTTGATGATGACTGAAATCTCCCATCTGTCTCTGCTCAGGGCAGGTAACCCCTGCTAACCAGACACCCCGTTGGCTTGATGCAGTACTCCAGATACGGAGAGGACAAGGACAAGAATCTCCCAGCCTACATGGGCCCTGAGCCGTGTAGAGCACGCAGTAGGTGTTCAGTTAAGGACAGGGACTACCCATCCTAGGGACATTCTGAATCACTTAAAGCCCACAGGAGATGTTCAGTTTCTCTTTACGGAATGAATAAAAGAGACTGTGCTGCTCAGATACTTACAAAACGGTCTCAAATTTCTGAGTTGCAAACAAGCCCCTCCGGCTCTTTCCGTCCTTTACTCCCAACACTTCCCATGACAGTACCCAATTCAGTCTTTTTACTATTTTGAACTTTCTGGGCTCAGAGACTTGGCTCTTGATGTTCCCTGCCCTTGAACTGTCCCAGTCCTCTCGCTCCAAAACGCCCCACGTCGGCTGCTTGGGAGGGAAGGGTAGCGAAGTGGAAAGTATTCCGGAATTAGTTCTAATTCTGGCTCTGCCACTTACTCATTGTACGTCACTTCTCTGTTCTTAACCTTTCTCTCATATGTAAACCACACGAGGTTCTTAGGAAGATTAAATAAGAAAATATGGTGAAAGTGTATCGCGTGATGCTTGATTCATTCAATTAGTGACAGGCAGTGTTTTAGGCACTAGGGATACAGCAGTGCTCACATCAACAGGATTCCTGCTCTGCAAGAATTTAATTTCTAAGAAACAATAAGAAGTTAAGCAGAATAGAAGATAATTTTAGTTAGGAGTCAGTGCTCAGAGAAAAATAAAATAGGAAAAAAATGTTATGGAAAGTGTCTGGAGTAAGGAACTCTTGGAGGAGATGCTATTTGCTTTGAGACTCAAATTTAGTAAGGAACAAACCACATGAAGATCTGGGAGCACAGCATCCACGAGAGAGAAAAGCAAGTGCAAAGGCCCTGAGGTGCAAGTGAGCTTCACATGATTAACAAGCTAATGTTCTGTAGGAATAATTTGCCCAGTTACCCACCTAGGAGGAGTTAGGGTCAGGATTTGAACCCAGGTCTTTTTTTTCTTCTTCAGGAAATAGAAGCACAACCTATTAGAAATGGAACAGATTTCCAAGAATCTGTTGGACTTCATGCTAACTAGATAACAATGATGTAACCATTCTAATTCTATATGAGGAATGTACAGAAATTAAGAGATTGCAGGAGAGAATAAAACAGTACCATCTTTCAATTCTTTTATTTCACCTTGTGAAAACCTGGATACTTTTATAGAAAATGAATTTCTAAAATACATTATTTAAATTCATGTAAAATAAAAAGTATTTGTCCAAAGTGGCACTACAGATATCAAAATTGTATCCTTTATGAATCACTCATGAAGTATAAAGATAACAGGAAAAATATAATACTAGCATAAAGGTTATTAGGTATATTTAGTTTTTTTTTTCAATTGAAGTAAAGTATAGTTGGTTTTACAGTGTTATGTTAATTTCTGGTGTATAGCATAGTGACTCAGTTATACATATATTCCTTTTCATATTCTTTTTCATTAAATGCTGTTGTTACAAGATATTGAATATAGTTCCCTGTGCTATACAGTAGGACCATGTTATTTTATATATAGTAGTATCTGCAAGTCCCAAACTCCCAATTTATTCCTCGACCCCTCCCTTTCCCCCTTGGTAACAAGTTTGTTTTCTATGTCTGTGAGTCTGTTTCTGTTTTGTAAATAAGTTCGTTTGTGTCATTTTTTTTAAAGATCCACATATGATATCATACTGAACCGAGGTCTTTTAACCCTTAAATATGGAGTGCTTGTCATTACAGCACAGAGAAGGCATAAGGAGGAAAAGTGAGCAGAGATGAAGTGAGGTGGAATGTACCCTGCCTTGTCTTCCACCAGATCTCAACCTGCCTGGGCCTTCCTGACAGTTCTCAGGACTGTGGGATCCTGGTTCCTGTTAGGCCTTCCAGCTCCACTGGCCCAGGTTGTCATGTCAGGGATCACCAGCTCTCACAGCTCCCTGAATCTGTCAGTTCCAAGTCCTTCCTCGTTTATAACAGGGAAAAATCAACTACTTTTACAATTTAGAACTTTTTTTTTCTGATTATAATACATGTTCATTGTAGAAAATATAAAATATGTAACAAAATAAAAATCAGGCGTAATTCCAACCTCTTCTGGAATTTTTGCTGTTTATCTTTAGAAGATTCTGAGCACACTGCACATACAGTTTTAGAATATGCTTTTTTTTCTGCCTGTCATAAGAAAAAAGTCTTCAAATGTATTTTTTAACAGCTATGTGATGGTTGACTAGATGGACCAAACCAAATGTAACTATCTTAGGGCTTTTGTTATTATAAATAACACAAAGGTCCTTCTGACCTATAAATCTTTGTTACATAAAGTCCTAATAGAATAGGGGAATTGCCTCCTCTCTTCACCTCCTTGAGTGCTGTGTCTAGCACTCAGGGAAACCATTTTCTTGGCTAGGGGGAGCGAGGTCACATGTGTTCTCAAACACCCTGCCTGTAAGTGTGTAGCAAGCTTCGTGGTTACTCTCTACTGAGAAAGAGACATTGTCACACTTTCTCCAACTTTCCCTTCATTCTCAGCCTATGCCTATTACTTTGGTCCCAGAAAGGATAAAATGGGAAAAAGGAGGAAAAAGAAGGGAAAATGTACGCCATTCAATGTTACATTTTGAAACAACAAATACTTAAACAATATTTTAGGCACATGAATATTATTTAACAATATTTTTATTAAATGCACAATTGGCAGGGAGTGAGGCCAACAGGATCAGGGCTTGGCCTCAGTATGCCAGAGTCTAAGGTGACTATGTTTTGCTCCTGTAGGGGCCTGCCATGGGGGTGGACACAGGAGGCAGGAGCCAGTGAGGCTAATCTCTGGGCTAGAGTCAGGGGCACCCATCTGCAGTGGCCTGGAGAACAAACCTAGTACCAAGGGGGTGTCTGAGAGAGCATCTGAGGACCTGGGTGGGGGGCAACACCCTGGCTAAGGGAGGGTGGGCAGGTCTGCATCTTCAGGCAAATGCTCAGGCTGTCTCCTCCTTGGATTACCAACATCGCCACGTCATCTCCAGGTTCTGGTCTGGCCTCAAAACAAAAGGAAAAACAAATCAAAACAGAGAAAGACATAGGAAAAGAGACGGTAAGAAGAACAGAGTGAAAAGGGGAAAAATGAGAGGGCAGAAGGCAATGGTGGGGAGGTGGATGGTTTGAGAAGTAGCAATGTTTATGGTGGAAGCTTAAGCAGCAAGACACAATTTGGGTCTGGACAAACTTATTACACCTCCTCAGCTGACAACCTTTAACTCACAAAGACCAACATCAGGTTCTCAGATAACCCACGAGTCAGAGAAATGGCTTTGCCAACTGTACTAACTACAGACCGGACCATTCCTCTAAACTGATTTGGTGCCCTCTTGCTGAAGAGCAATTTCTCAAAGTTTCTGGAAGCTGATTACTTCTCAGTGGAGAAGACAATGGAGAAGTTGTGCCAGGCAAGAGCCCCTCCTGTGCATGCCTTTTGGCCCCCTCAATTTCTAGGGGAGGGAGTGAAAACTGGAGATTGATGTGGCCCCGTGGTTGGAATCAGCAGGTGGGAGGAGGGAAGGGCTGGGCAGAAGGATATGGGGAAGAGAAAGAGAGGAGGTCTGAGAAGAGGGGAAAGAGTTCCCCTTTCCTTACCCACACTCACCTCTTGCTGCCAATTATTCTGTCTTCCCTCCAGGTGGCAGGAAATGCTGTCACTATCCACTGGAAAAGCCCAAGGGTCATTGTCAGCTTCTGCAGGTGTAGTGGTTGAGAAAAGAGAAGACGGCAAATGAAGGGGGTTCACTTATACTGTGGGAACAGATCTTTGTTCGACCTGGGGAGAAGAGGCTGAACTCTTCAAAAGGACCTTTTCTAGGAAACTGCAGGAAAGAAATGAAATGACCCATAAACGGGGATAGAGGGCATTCTTTAATCTACATAATGCTCCCTTCCCTGTCTCCAACCCTGCCTGAGTAGACACTGGACCAAAATGCTGCTTCTATCTTTTAAGTCCACACTCAAGAGACCCTTTTGGCAAGCTAGACCCCTCCTCAAGTTCTCCCTGAGGCGAAAGGGCATCTCTCCTTCATTCCTTTTGAGCATCCTCTTGGCTCTGAATCCTAGAAGTGCTTCTCCATGTTCACAATGAACTGGTCTGTGGTTAAGCTGGCTTCTCCCTTCCTTGTGTTTTGAAACATCAAAAAATAAGAGGTGTGAGAGATCATGAGAAATGAATCCCCTCCTTATGTGAAAAAACAACTGAGGCCCAGGAGGAAGGAGAGACCAAATCAGGTTCACACAGCAAGGGAACTGGCAGGAGTCAGGCCTTCCCAATGCAACCTTCCCAATACTATTACTATTACTAAACCGCAACATTTAGTTGACGCTGAACCCTTTTCCTTCCCCCTCCAAAGGCTCTAACCTACGTGTGGGTCTAGGCCGACTCAGCCATCCCCTCCCCATGCCCACCTGCCCATGACATCAAGGCCCCAGTGGTGAGAGCAGCAGATGAAGGCAGCCAGGCGATCTCCCGGCTCCAACAGCCAGGGAACGGTTAGCCTGCCCTCCAACCTGCTTCTTGCGAGGCGATGCTCCTCATTGGCCCAGAATAAGTGATTGACAGGTCAGTAGCCCAATAAATGATGAGTCTTGGAAGTGCTGTGGCAGTTACCAGCCAGCTGTCTCATCGCGAGACCCTATGTAACGGTTTTGGCAATATCCGTTCAGTCTTTTTTTCATACTCAAAATCTAGCGTTGTTTTAGTAGGGGGTGAAAGGCAATCTTCTCCCTCCAAGAAGACACACATTTGGGGGTCTAAGAGTACAAAACCAATCCTCTAAAAAATATGTGACACCATTGCTGAATGAGTCACTTAATAAATGGGGGCTTGATTTGTTAAGACGTTTGTGGGAAAGTGAGTGGGCTGGAGGGAGGAAAGGTAGCCGGGCATGGGGACAGAGGACTCGGGCAACCCTATGAAGGCCAGAGGGAGTTTAAGCTGTTTGTAGCTTAGAAGAAATGATGAGGATTTTCCTGGGGCGTGGATGGTTCTGGGACCTGAGTGAAATGATGCGGTCACTGCTTGGGACTTTAAAGGTCTAGGGGCTAGGAACCTGGCTGGCAGGCAGGTGGGGTGGTGCTTGTGGTGTTCTTGCCCATGGAAATGGTCTCTCAGCAAAAGCATCTAAGTAAGAGCTGGCTTGGATGACTAAAGGAGAAGCCTGGAGTCTTGAGATGCTTCCTTAGAGTATATAGGAATGGGGGTAGCACAGAGATGGAGTAGCCCATCTTGTTAGGGTACAGCCACAGAAGATGTGGCCGCTGGAAGAATGGCAATGGATCACCACATAACTTTTTTGAGAAGAGGGGTCACAGATGAAGAGAGATGAGATGGAATTAAGGGATGGAAAGTATGACAAAAGAAAGAATACTGTAGGGACTTAGAGCAGGAGTCTGGGTAAAGCTGAGCCCCAATACATGCCAGGCACAAAGCTGTCACTCAGTAAGTGCTAGCTATTATTATCGTGCCTCTGGGGGGTGAGGGAGGGGCCCCTCAAGTCCAGTAGTTAAAATGGAATAGGAACTGAGTGGAGAAGTAAAAGGGAGAACCAGTAACAGACCATTCCAGCTGCCCTCTCTGTCCCACTGTGATTATGAGAATTGCAGAAGCCACCCCATTGGGGGATGAGAAGGGAGGGTTGAACTAAAGAGTAAGGGTGTTGGATGTGCTGGAGCTGGGAGCCCCAGAGGATGGGAAGTAAGAGTGAGGCGAGATTATTGTCCTTCCCAAATGTATCTTAAATGGGGCCTGTTAGATGTGGGGTGAGAGAGGGAGGTACATGTGAGAATGGGAAGGGGACGTGGTGTGGACAGGTGCTGGCTGAGCTGTGTCCTCTTATACGGAACAGTTGTCTTGGTTGCTGGGATGCGGTCCTGGGGAGCCACCAGTTTGTCTGTCTCTCCTGGGAAAAGGGAATCGGGGTGAGATTCAAGACGCCACTGGAAATTCCCATCAGTCATTGTCACAAGTGTCAACTCTCATAGGGACCACTGGTCTTTGAAGGCAGAGAGGGAAAGACTCCTCCAAGAGGCCCTGAGATGAGGAAAATCATTTTCTCTTTGACAAGGAGGGTGTATATCAATGGAGGCTCCTGAATACTCTGAGGAGTACATAGTGCAGCTCATGAAAGTTCTGAACAGAGAAAAAGAAGCTCCCCAAGTTGTGGTCCGTTTCCCTTGGCCTTTCCTATCCTCACTAGTTTCTGTGTTCCCCTTTACCTAGTCATCGAATCAGAGGTACTAGCAGGGGGGCTTGGGCAGAGTGGGCGGTGCTGAGGAAGCTAAGAGAAAGTGATGTCGAAGGAAGAATGATAATCCTTTTGAGTCCCCAAATGACCCTTAATATGGATCTGTTGCGAGATGAGGATCAACAGGCCCGCATTGGCACTGAAGTGCAAAGCCGCCTCGACTAGCCTCCCCAAGCTCAGGGGCTCTGGCTTATAGCGCTGGGGGGGTGGGAGGGGGAAGAGGCTAGGAAGGAGCTAAAGTAGGCCAGAGAGGGACAAGAGGAGATAGAGAAGAAGACAAAGACAAAGATGAGAAGGACTGAGGCAGGATGGAAGCTGGAGAGGTGCGGAGGCCAGGTGGAGAGGCCTAAGAGAGACAGCCCTGAAATGAGCTAGTTACCTTAGTTGTCAAGCCTTCAAAGTCTTTTCTACTTCTGTTTCCACTGAATATGGTTCTATTAATTTACAAAGAAAATCATTATAGAGTTATCAGAGTCTTCCAAGATTCCAGAAAGCATTACATTTACTAACTTTGACCCATTTTTACATAAACCCTTCAGAATCTTCCCGAGGCTCACAGGCAGTTCCTGATGATCTTATCATGGGATTCAGATCCGGGTGGGACAAAGGAGATAGTCAGGGGGTACTTGTGAGAGCTAAGTCTAGGCAATCAGCTTCTGGAGGCTGCTCGGATTTTTCATGTCCATGGTTCAAGGGCGAAATAAGCAGTTGGCTAGCAGAGGAATGAGCTGCTTTGAAGCAGCCATGTTTGTCATGGGGTGTGGCAAGACAGTGGCATCACAGTTGGGGCACTAAGGGAAGTAAGTGATAATGGCATCCTGGGAGGGGCTGTTGGCCCTGGAATGGAGAATGTGATGGAGCGCTGTGGTGATGAGGGAGCATTTGACTGGCTGTCAATGAAGGCTAGTTTCTGATGATCTTGGATGGTTTGCCCACAGTCAGTGACTAGAAATGCGTCTGATAAACTGAGCAGGACTCAGGCAAGAGGCCAGCAGGGAAGTGGGGCCTGGGCAAGAAGGGCACAGCTACTGAACAGGCAACTGTTGCTAATGTGGGAAGATGCTCACACAGGCTGGAGAGGATCATGTCCGAGTCAGTGATGGAGAAGGGGAAATAAACAGAGGTGAGAGAGGCAAACACATGTGCTAGAGAATTCAGAGAGAGGTAGAGTCTCATTAAGCTGATTCTTCTTCAGGTCATCTAAGGAGGTCTCTCTCTGTTCCTCCTCCTGATATGGTCCAAATAAAACACCATGATGTTTAGAATAGGTCAAGGGTTTTCTGGGGATTCCGAAAATGGCTTTCACCTCAGCTAAATCCTCTCAACATTTGGGAAGCATATGTGTACAATGGAAATTCGATTTTCAGTCTGGGAAGCTGAATGCTTTTTGTGTGCAATGGCCTTATCTTGGGGACTCACGGTGTGGGAAATGTCCAAGAGCAAGGGAGATGGTTGGCTGTCCAGGAGCTTATTACCCCCTGATCTCATGTATCTTCCCCCAGGTCTTCCCTCCCACCAGCAGGAGGTAGTGATGGGATCTGATGGTCAAGAAGGAGTTGAGGAGCTGAGTGGGGTAGGTCAGGTAGGCAGAGAGGCTTCTGAAGGGAGAAAGAGCTGATGGGAAGAGGGCAGGTGGGCACAGGAATGAATCACTGCTTCCCTCTGTCCCTTCTAGGCCGTGTCCTGCAGCTGGCCTCTCTGGGAGACTTGACTTCTCAGCCTCCTTGGCCTGTCATCTCTCATGTGTCTTACAGTAAACTGAGGAGCGGGAATGAGGGAGGCAAGCAGAGAACAGGAGAGACTGAGCCTGATGAGATCATTTGCAGGGATGGGAGGACAGGCAAGCTGAAACTAACAGGCCCTCCACATTGCTTCTGCTGCTCTTCCTAGTGATTGTGCTCATCCTCAAGGGATATCTGCCTCAAGAATTTAGAGCCCTCTGCTCCAACCATCAAACTTCCTGAGCTCAAGTTGCGCTGGGTGCTTCCACGCGCTAAATAATGGTTCCTCAGCTGCTGAAGAGTGGAAGAGATTCCGAGACAGTGGCTGGTTCTAGCTGCCAAACAATATAGAGCATTTCTGAGAGACAAGCCATACCATTGCCCCACTTCCCTTCCACGTGGGCAAATACGGGAAAAGTCAGAATAGGGGTTGAAATGTGGGAGAGGAGGCAGGATGGAGTTATGAGTTCTTATTCCCCCAAATCTGCTGAAAAAGACTGGATGGACAAGAAGAAGATGTGCGGAGAGAGGCGGATAAGCCTGGGTAGAAGATGTGATGAGACTCAAATGGGAATGCTGGGAGGGTGAGGTCGAAGGGATGCCGTGGGGTTACCCCCGGGGAGTTGTGTTTCAGCATCCTTAAGCCTACCCTTTGGCCACAAGAAATAGGGATGGATCCCCCTGAATTCTTTCTTCTACTTGTGGCATAATTGGACCTTGATGCTTTTAAGATTCAGGAGTAATGTTTCGGGTGAATTGTTCTTCCTATTTGAGAATTGGGAGGATACCACCTAGCGTGGTGTAAAAGGCAAAAGAATAAAAACTCCTCATCCTTGGAAGGCATTTTCTTACTATTGTCTTTCTCTGGCCCCAGCTCTCCTTTCCTCCTCCAAAGCCCCTCTGCTGAGAAGCGTGCGACAGGCAGGAGAGAGGGTGCAGACCTCTACTGCCAAGTTGGCTGCAGCGCTGCTGCCGCCCCAGGAGTGAGCAGAGCCCTTTTCACCATAGCAGCCTGTGATGCAGCTGGAAATTTTCAAAAGGAACTTTTTTGACAGGGAAATAAAAAGTTAAAAAACAAAACAAAACAAAACAAATAAGATGTGAAATAGGGGCCAAGAGATCTTTTGACTGGTTTATAACCTGCTGTGATCCTAAGCTTGGCTATTAGCTGTTTGGCTGTGTTGGATTCCAAACCTGTTCTCAGCTTGGTCTCGTGTAAAATGGATTCTTCCCAGACCCCAGGGTTGTCCTCCACTGCAGTGCCTCCTTTGCCCTTCTTGGATGGGCGGTCCTATCCCTGTCTGCTCGTAAAGCTCATCTTTGTAGGTTGCAGTTCCTGTCTCTTTCATTTTCTGGATGGCCCCTCTGTCTTTCGGGGTCCTGCGATCCACCCTAGACTTCTCTTTGTTGAGTCTTTGGGGTGCAATTCCCTGTTATCCTCTAGTTCTAACCTGTGTAGGGGCTGTTTAGGGGGAGGGGAGTTAGGCTGTAACTGTGATAGTCAGAGCAGAGTTGTCAGGTCACTGGCAAGAGC